TGCGCCATCTGGTCCACTTCTATGCACACAGCATCTGAAGAGCGGGGGGTGCAAGGGAGACGACGAAACCTGTCTGACTTTGTTGTTCACCTGAACATTATAAGAGACACTGGAGGTGCTAGACTCAATTATGTCCGGTAGCCACTTAATTTTGCCATGAGTATAGGTCCTTGCCCAGACCAAATCTCCAGCCTTAAAGAAGCTAATTATGGCTCTGCCTTTCCCCTTTCTCTTCTCCTGCTGTTTCTTCATTCTCATTTTGAGGATGCTGCTGGGCTGCAGGATGGCCAGTGGAGTCCTGGGTCTGCGGCCTAAGAACACTTCAGCAGGTGACACTTTGGTAATAGTGTGTGGAGTATTCCGGTAGGTGAAGAGGAAAACATCACTTTTATGTTGCAGTGAGCGGTTTTCAGTCCAGGAAGCATCCAAAATCCATATGAAGTCTTAGCCAACGTCGAGTAGGCCAAGACCATGGCACATAGGAATCATGAGGCACTGAAGACATCAGCGATTGGCACACGCCACAGTTTTTAACCAAATCTTCAAGTTTTAGATCAATGTTTGGCCACAACGGGTGACGGACAACTCGCCCCGGTTAACTCGCCCCTGGTATAAACTCGTCCCAAGCCCAACTCGACCCCGGTCCTACAACAAACTCGCCCCCATGTCTGTGCCAACTCGCTCCCAAAGATTTTTTTTTTCAAATTTAAATTTGCAGCGCTTTTCGGAGCACTCTGCTCTGCATTGTCAAGAGGTGGTATTGTTGTGATTCGCCTAGCTAGCAGTCAAGGCCAGGGCAGTCAGTCCAATGGGGGAGAAGGTCAGGTACACGTCTACCCAAAGAGGGCCACGAAAGGCTCTTTATGGTAGCTTCATTAGAGGAGACCAAGAAAAACTATGGTAGCTTCATTAGAGTAGACCAAGAAAAACTATGGTAGCTTCATTAGAGTAGACCAAGAAAAACTTTTTGTTAAAATGTTTGAGTTCACATTGCCCATCTCGTGCCAATCCAAAAAAAAAACGCTCTCAAAAAAAAAATTTCAGCCAGATCGGACAATATTTGACCCTCCCGAAGGGGGTTCAAAGTTTACATTAGTTTCTCATGGGTCATCAGGCCAACACGTTACACATTTGGCCTGTGGCCCAAACTATCAATCGTAGACAAAGGCCGTTATCAAAAACGTGATCTACGCTAAAAACCGAGTTAGACGGAATGCCGCTTGTCAAAATTCCTCATCTCGTTTAGATTTTAAAATTTTATAAAACAACTAAAAATAACACATTTTAACGGAGAAACGATTTTTTTTTTACGGAACGCGGTGACGGATTTTGACGTGAAAATAAATGTGATGAATGAGCTGTGGCTAATAAAAAACAAAGCCATTTTAGTCTTTGCACCCGTAAATGAAGGCAGGGTCCTTCGAGTAGTCCTTCAGGTATAGTAAAAAAATCATAAATTTGGTGTCCGATGCAGTGAGCCGATTCGGTTTAAATTTCGCGCCAATAGCTCTTAGCTAGCCGACTAACACTCCTCTTACACGGACGAGGGGCAGACAGACGGACAGACACGAATGCGGTTGCTTGAGCCCGCTTTAATGCTTGTTTAAAAGCAGAAGGGCGGGCTAAAAAATAAGAAATTATGAAATAAGAGCACCATATTGTGCTTATTTTTGGCTGAGCGATTAGCGAAGCCTATTACTCCAGTGATGATCAAAAAGTTTCGCGTCTGTCTGTACGCACGATAACTTGAAAACGGTTTAAGCTAGGAGGCTCTAATTTTTATTGTGGCTTTGTATCATAAAAAGTAAGAACTGTGTTGATTTTGAGCCCCTTGGCTCAAAAATTAACGTGTCAAAAAGTCATAAACAAAAAGCCCGAAACATTTCTTTGAAAAAAATTATGTTTTTACATCTTCCTTAGAGGTAACTTGTCAAAGTAGTGCCCTTGAACAAAAACGTTGCCTGTTTAGCTCTATCTCTAACCGTTTGGGCGCCAGAGGGCGTTTTTCACACGGAAATGACCCCAAAACATTTAAATGTTAACTTTCAGATATTTGATGGTGTCAGAGGAACAAAATTTGCGACTTTTGGGGCCGAAGGCCTATTTACGACCTTGTCCCGCTTTGCCCTTTGCCCGACTCGGGTGTCAGCGCCGCAGCAGGCCTAGGTCGATGTATGCCAGGCGCGTCGCAGCGTAACAGTGTTTCGTGAGATATCGCGAAGCCTGTTACGCGAGACGTGGTCTGGCGTTGGCGTACATCTACCTAGTTTTAGCATGTCTGGTGCTTTTTAGGGATTTTTCTTTTTCTTCTGACTCACTGCCTTCCTGCATAGCGTTTACAATTGCCTTAGTGATTACATCTCTACTAGTCACATGTATTGAAATTGCTTTCAGTTCGCACAATGTTATTTCTTAATCAAGAGTAGTGTAAATTTTTCAGCCTACTAAACATTGCAATCTGAAGCAATTTTCATAAGGCATATCAAATTTTGAATACTGATTTGATACGTTCATCTTTCACTGAGTCAGAATAAGTGTTCAAGAATAGGAAATTACAATTATTGGAAGTAAAATAGACTTACCTTGCTGGATCGATTGCTGCTTCTGCTGGTAGAGCTAGCAATGCTGCTATCACCACTTTCACCATCACTGCTGTCACTGCAGCTACCGCTACTTGTACTGCCACTGCAAGTGCTCTGGCTATCGCCGCTGATACTCGAACTATTACTGCTACTAGAACAGAGATTCTTGCTTGACTTTTTCTTCTTCTTTCTTTTCTTTCCCTTTCTATATCTTCTGAATCAGCAGCATCTTTGGCTGAGCGATCAGCGAAGCCCATTACTCCACTGACCGGAAAAGTTTCATTCTGTTTGTTTGTCTGTCCGCACGATAACTCGAGAAAGAATTGAGAGAGCAATCTGGGAATTTGAGGGTCGTTTTGAATCATAAAAAGACAGGTCGAGTTCGAAGATGAGCATTCTAGCTCAAAAATTGACTTTAAAAAAAAGCAAAAACCACAGGTTAAAAAATAATTTTTTTTCGATTTTTTTTTATGGGCTTCAAACGGGTAAGTAGTGAAAGTAGAACCCTCTGAACGAAAATTTCGTCCGTTTTGCTCTATCTTGTACCGTTTCGGCGCTATGATGCATTTCTTGGCGAAAACAACGTGAAAAAGACAAAATGGTCTGTTAAATCGTTAAAAAGGCTTCATGTCACAGAATCACTAAATCGTTGATTTTTACATAACACTCTGTCAAAATTGGAACTTTCAATGAAAAACTGAAACGAACAGCAAAAGTTTCATGTCCCTAATTTTAGAGTAACAAGACCCCGACAAACGGTTCGAGTATGTCAAATTTTGGGCCCGGAAGGCCCTGTTCCTCTATACCCTCTCCTTAACTCGTCTCGGGTGTGTGCATACATTCCTATTCACTCGTCTCGGGTGTCAGCGCCGCAGGCCTAGCTATATGTGCGCCAGGCGCGTCGCAGCGT